TTCTCTCATTCTTCTATCCATTTTCTCTTTCTTCTTGACTTTTTTATATTTTCATACAAACTTATATAGATATGAAAGTCAATATAAATCTACCTAACTTATATAAAATCACTTGACACATTTTTAGTTTTTCAAACAAAAATGTAATATCTGCCTCATCATATGATTCACGCTTACATGTAAAGTTAAAGCCTAATCAACTGCCAAACTTTCATATAATAAGTTTTAAACATTCCTCGATGAGTGATTCATGCATGACATTTAATCATTATTGTTGCAAAATGAGAAAATTATTTTAAAATATAATTTATTAAAAATGATAATATTTTAAGATATCTTATAAGTGGGGTCATTATCACATAATAACTTAATCTACAAGATATAAATATGAGAAAAATAGTGTATATCATTCTCATTATTTATTTATAAAAATAATATAGTCATCATCAATTTAATAAAAATAATAATTCAAATATTATTATTCTATCACTATTATCATAAAAGAAGATAATTACCATCATATTTATCACTTTGATGTGAAAGAATTCAAATTTAATTTATTTTACAAATAAGAAAGAATTTTTTAATGAAAAGATTATATTCTTAATGTTTTTAATCAAGAGCACACTAAATCATTGAAAATATTTATCATCATAAAAATAAGTATTGGTATTTATTATCTTACTAGTGAGAGATAACTGAAATATTAAGCAATTAGACAAGCACGGAGCATTCTCCCCACTTACCTTTCAATCTTTCATGTAGATTTCATGTTAAAGGATGCTACAAATACTTTCAAATCAATGAACTTTTCTATAAAGCGTGATCATAATAATTTTTCTTTTTAAATGATTATGGTATTATGGGTAGCTCACATTCAGTATACATAAAATACTTGATAATTATCATTGTCTTGATGGACAATCCACTTAAACTTTATCAATATTGAAGGTTATTTCTAATAATATAAGGTTTGAAAGGCTTACCACATGATATATAATATAATGTTGATTCTTGATCATGATCAAATTTTTTGTTGCATGCATGCAGTGGACAATTGATTATAGAGGACAAGTATGACACATGGCCATTCCTATTCAATCTTAGTTTTATCGATGATTCATAAATCTCATGCACTAAGATTTTCAGTGGTCTTAATCCTTGGGCACCAATACATAATTAGTCAAAGTTATATGGTTCACCTTGATTACATAATAAAATGCAGTTGAAGATAATCATCATTATCACAGTTATTATTATTATTATTGATTTTATATAAATGTGTGTTATAATTAATAAAATCACGTTAAAAGTTATTGTTTTTATATGATATTTTAAATGGGATTTTAAGTGTGGGTATGTTTAAAAAAAAAGAAGAGAGAGGAGAGGATCTACTGAAGAGAGAAAGCAATGACACTACGTACAAAGTATTAGAGCTAAAGCCTTAATATACAGTTTTATAGATCTCCTAATATTGAAGATATTTAATCTCTTCCTTTAGATATTATTCCTTCTCATTTAAATCACTCTTCTTGTTCTTTTTTTATAAAGATCTCTTTTTTTCATTTATCTTGATGCTCCAAATAGAAAAGAATTTGAAAGAGCATATTTCATAAATGAAGGATGACTCAACTTTTAAGAAATTAAAGGAGCTTGTGGCCAAAGTATTCATGAGGGAAAAGACTTAGCTTGTTAAGGTTAGGAAGTGGTTGAAAGCAAATGGTGGAAAGGCTTCTTAGATTTATCATTCGAATAGAAATGTATTAACTTAACCAAAATCATGTTGATGAAACATTTATAGGCTTCTAAAATTCCTCAAAAAAGCATGGTAAAATGTGACAATGAAGAAACTCATTCTCTTGTCATAAATATGAGAAAACTAGTTAGAAGATATAATTCTCATTATTAATAACCACACCTCTAGATTAGTATGATTCATCTATTGATTCAAGAGAACTATTCAATGAATCAAGCTTAAGCTTACCATCATCATCTGAATGTTGCCACTGCCACTGTGTAGCCTTGAGTTATTATTTGCCTAGTTTAATTTTAGGCATGACTTTAAGTCAATTTTTGAAGTTGAGATTGACCCACCATTTTTAACTTGACTGATTGATGTTTTAGCCTTCTAAATCGGATCAATTTGATTTGAAGATGAATTTAGAATTATTTCATAGGTGGAAGTATCATGCAACTCAATAGTCATAACACTTGGCCTCCACCATTTTTACAAGAGAGGCTTTGATGAGATAGCAATGTGCATGGATGTATAACTGCAAAATACCAGCTAGGATAATATATATATATATTAACCTGCTAACGGCAGTTTTACCGTTTCTTAACGGATTCATCAATGTAGAGCACGTCGTCGATGTAAGAGACGAGGTTGAATGCGAAGCTCTCTAGTACTCTCGAATAACTCTCCAATATCGCTTGGCCCAAATCCTGCAAAATCAAAAAGATTGTTAATTAATTTTAAGGAATTTATTTTTTGCATTTATACCACCTAAATCTTTCCTTACCATCAAAAACATCACCATTTTAAGTTTTAGGAAGTGAAATATGCACATTTTCATGCATGTAAAATGGTATGTATATAAATATTGAAGTTTATATGACAGATACGTAAATTGATACATAGGAATTTAGTGGTATTTATGTAATTCTTCCAATTATTTATTCTTTTTTGCTGTTATTTCACAATCCGAACAACCTTTCTTATTAATTAAGCAATTAATTTTGGAATATAATAATATAATAAACCTAACATAATAAATATAAAAGAGGTTTAATTGCAAATTTGTAAATTAAATATCTATGAATGAAAATATGTATTTCACTTTAATAAATCTCTGACTAAGGGTCTGTTTAGGTGCTAATCTTTCTCATATAAATAAATCCCTAATAATATAAAAATTAAAGTTTAGTTGCTAAATATGCAGATACAAAAGGATTATGTAATGCAAATCTTTCTCATTAAACTAAGGGTCTGTTTAGGACACCGTAGTTGTTTGAAGAGGTATTTGTGATGTTGTTGCAAAAGAAAACGATATTCAAAAGGTTATGATGGCAATTACAAATTCATTTTATTTTCAAAATGTTAAACCGTAGCTTTCTTTCTGACAACCAACACACTTCAATTGTTAAACTTGTAAAAAACAGCTTTCTACCACCAAAATTTTAAAAAAACTGAAAAAAAAAATTCGCCAAAATATAAATGTGGTAGCAGTCTGAAAAATAAAACTGACACAAAGTTGTCCTAATAAGAAAAAAAATATTATGTCAGGAGGCATCAGGACTTCAATCAATGTTTGTCACATGTACAGTCTGATCTAACCATATATTAAATTAATTAGTTTTTTTTTTACTGGAAAACTCAGATTATATATACATAGCAGACCGTGATTGAAATTCTCTTATAAAATAAATCAAGGACTCCTGATATAATATTTTCCCTCCAAACAAATCCTAAATATTTTGAAACTTATCACACCAAACTCACCTTATTATACTGAATCTTCATAGAATCCAGCGTCGTCTGAGACAAGCTGGGATACCTCTGTTTCAAGCTCAACAGGAGGCTGCGAGCTCTGCTCGCCAACATTGCATTCTTGTCCAAATCCACCATGAAATCCTTCATCATTTCCCATGAGGACCTATTTCCGGCTGCGGCGCCGCCTCCGGAGGTGGCGGAGTTCGCCTTGCGCCGCCACACATGCATGGAGGCTTCGATGCGGTCGGCCATCTCGAGCGCCTCGTGCTCGTTCGATATGTTGAGGCAGTCGAGAATGTAATCGGAGGAGAGTTGGTCGGCGGCGGTTAGGTGGCGGTAGGCGGCGTCTCCTATCCCTACTCGACCGCTCTGCACAAGAAGATTTGCGTGAAGTGTAAGTATATTTTTTATAAATAAATGGGGGATTTGCTTCAACAGTAATATTTTAATAAAATAAATTTATTACTATTATCATAATAATTATTATTTATTTGAATTAGATTAAAAATAATATATTTTGAAAATATATAAGGTGGTGACGAGTGGGAGACCGCCGGCGACAGTGGTGAGTGACCGGTGTTCGGCTGCGGGCGGCAATGGGTGGTGACGGCGGTGATCGATGGCGGCGGGGCGGCCGAGATTATTTTAGATTAACAAACGATTCAAAATTGACCAAATTAGTCAAATTGGTGAAAATTAACAAATGTGTAAATTTTAAATTTTAATTTATATTATATTATATTTGTAATATAATACTTTAATTAATGTATCTAAGCTTACGCATAAAAATGTAATAATTAATTATGATAGATGTGATCTAAATATTTAAGTGAGATGCATGTCATAACAATCAATTAATGTTTCGGGGTTGGATGCATGAATACATGAGAGTTGGTGGACATGTATGTAAATGCCCCAATTAGTAAGGAATTAGGAAGCTAACAGGTAGGTACCTTGGGCAGGGAAGCGATGAAGGAATCAGGGACGTCCATCTCGGCGAGGACGCCATTATTGATGGCGATGGCGGCCTTGTGGATCTGGTTGGCGCAGTCTCGCTTCTGCTTGAGATCCTTGCGGGAGGCGGCGGAGAGGCCGTATGAAGGGAGGCAGGGAATGGGCCGCCACCACTTCTCCTCGTTTCTCTTCACGACTCGCCGGAATGATCGCGATATGTTCGCGCTCGGCGATCGATCCCCGTCGTCCACGTACCAGAACTCCGTCTTCTCGAAACTCTCCAGTATCTCCTGCTTTCACTTCCGGGTTATTTCGTGTCGTTACGGGTTATTTCAGGTAGGAGGAGTGCAAAGATTAATTTGATTATGTCTAGGGTTATGAATTTAGCTCGAAGACTGTTGATTGCTCGGAAATTGATTTGAATGTTAGCTCTGCAAAGATTAATTTGATTGTGTCTAGGGTTATGAATTTAGCTCGAAGATTGTTGATTGCTCGGAAATTGATTTGAATGTTAGCTCGGATTGAAATAAACGAGTCGAGTTATGAGCCGGAATTTTGGATCAATTTTTTTTTCTACCAACCCATACATGAATAGATGCTCGAAAAGACTCAGATCAACTTGTAGTATATATATAGCTAAGTAAAATTGAATAAAACGAGACACGAGCTAATTTCGAGCAAGAACAGATCCAACTAACTCAATTTGAGCCATTTAGTTTCAAATTTGAGCAGATTCGAGCCAATTTTGAGCCAAAACATATCCAAATAACTAAATTTGAGCGGGCTCATTTTGATTTTTAGTTGGATCGAGCTAGATTTAATTTCGAGCTAGCTCGGCTTGAAATCGAATATAACAAACCACGAACCGATTTTGTTGATAGTGTAAGTTAAAGGCCCTTACAAGCAGCATGGTGTCCAATTTCTCCAAAGCAGGCAGATTGATATAGATATCTGATCTGGGCCTTGTTGCCATCACCTGAAAAGTTGGTATGAAAATAAAAATAATAATAATAATTAAATTAAATGATAATAAGCAATATTTACTTAGATATCACTCTATTCTTATGTATTTGCATCTAATCAAATTTTAATTTTTACATGCTTCCAACTTTCAACTACTTAAAAGTAAAAATAATCAAATTTTTTAGGTGATATGACATATTTTGGTGGTATGGATGTAAGAAATAAAAATTTTGTGGTATATATGTAAATACATTTGAATTGGGTGGCCTTTACATAAATACCCCCTTGTAATAATTCTCATTTATTTATTTTCAATTATTTTT